GAGAGAGAGAGAGAGAGAGAAAGACGTCTAAGAATAATGACCATTAATTGCTCAGTTTTTGCAACAGAGCATAATGCCTGGCAAATTTATAAATGAGTTTTCAGTTTGTAAAATTATCAAAGCTAGAATAAATATGTATAGAGTAATATAATTTTCATGATAAAGTGATTAATAGAAATAAATAAATGTGTTTTAGTGTCATATGATGGTTTCATTTTATTCACTCATCATTTAGAAGGATATCCATAAGCATCTTAAGAATAGAAAAGCTATCTATTCAAATTATTTTTCTTTTTGTAACACACTAACTATAACTTGATTGCTCTCATACTTTCATCATCTATATGCTATTACTGGTATTTAGTTCATTTGTTTTGAAACAGATTGACTGAAAATACTCAATTTAATGTGGAAGTTGTTTTATACCCTAATGATTATTTTCTAATATCTATTTAAGAATACCCACAAATAGTGAAATTCATTATCTGAAAATGCAAGCAATAGNAGGGAAATTAGAATGATCTTCTGTGTTTAAAGTCTATACCTGAAGTGATTCTCTCAAGAGGATTTGAGATGTCAATATTATTTGATTGACCCAGTGGACTCTTTTTCATGTCTAATTTTTGGGAGGAGAGATTCACTGTGATATCGTGTACAATTGTAACTACTGTTTTTGTGGAAATAGAAATCCAGGAAGCTGCCAAGAGAGCCAAGTAACAGAAGATTTTCTAAAGTGACTAATTTGAATTTGATCACTATGACATGCCTCCTTAAGCTTGAGATGTTTCACACAATCAGGTGTTTGATATTTTTATTACTGTAATTTGCATAACCATGATTTAATTTAATTATTTTGTAGAAGATTCTATTGCAATGAAACCAAAATAGTATTAAAGGGTATAGACCTAGGCTGATGAATAAATGTGATTTTTATTGTATTTCATGTGATTACAGTGTAATTTCCTGCATTAACTTTGACTTATAAGGTTTGGATGTGTGCATGTGTGCGTGCACGTGTGCATGAGAGAGAGAGAGAGAGAGANTAAGGTTATACAGACAGTGATCTCAGGAAGCAGTTCCACTCCTAGGGTTTGGGGAACACTGTGAAGAATTGGAGGTCTGGGAGCTTGGAAGAGGGACCCTGTAGATCTCAGGTCCATACTTCTCAGACGTGGTGCTATGCAACCAGTGTTAGAATCTCAGGAGCTCAGGACAGGCCTCAAGGAGCTCAAATTCACGAACTCTCTCAGGATGGGTGTGAGCCACCTAGTACTGGCACCTCTGAGAGGGCAGAATGAGCTGGTTATGGAAGAGCCTGGAAAATCTGACTGAGCTAACAAGGTGAAGGATAATTGCTAATGCTGACAGGAAGAAATAAGCCCCTTTCTGTCCTTCCCCTGCCCTCCGGCCTCTCTCCAGTGCCCCCCTATTGCAGAACCTAAGAGGAAGCCAGCTGACAAAGGGAGAAATGTGGTATGCAAAGTCTCAACTCCAAAATCTCAAAGCAGAATATAGAAGCGTAGGTTTGGGGTTGAGATAATAGCATAAAAAGACAAAATTCTTACCTGGTCTCTCTCAAAAAGGGAAATTAGAATGATCTTCTGTGTTTAAAGTCTATACCTGAAGTGATTCTCTCAA